TATTGTGTAATGCAGTGTTTAGTATTGTGTAATGCAGTGTTTAGTATCAGTGTTTTGCAGGTATTGAATATGTGTGTGAGCACCAGGTCTGGAGGAGAGTTTGGGGAAGAGCAGCTGACGACCATCAGATCTCTGTGAATGTTCAACAGATTCCAGCTTCCCTCCTGAGATTCTGCAGCAGCACAGATTGGGATTAACACACTGGGATTAAATACAGTAAAGTACAGTACAGCACAATAGAGATAAAACAGAAAACAGTACATACGAGAGGTGAGACGCGTGATTTCACGGCTTGAGGTGTCCACAACAAACAATTCCTGCAAAACAAACACACACACAAAACAGAAACTCACTGTTTCAGGGATCCATATCACAATGCTGGATTAGCTGATTATCCAGTTAAGTTTTGATTTAGTTTACATCAATCCAATCAGATTTTATCGCTTATTGATGTTATGGTCACTTATGCTGTAAGGCTAACCTAGTCACACACACACACACACACACACACACACATGTACGGTATGGGCAATATCAACGAGTACCATTGTGATGTGGCTGCATATCTGCATTGGTGGGAGGTGTGTGTTGGATCTTAGTGTTCCACCAGAGATGATATACAGTCACATCCCACTGCTACTCATGTGATACTGCGTTTATACAACAGTTCGACAGCATAATCGTGTATATAATTTTCAAACAACAAACACGGAGAGTCTAAACACCCTTTTGTATGAGGAACTACTTTCTTACACCATTTATTCACATCTGCAGCTGACAGAACAGCAGAAGCCATTACTAATTCAGCAACATCACTGTAGAGCTAGTGTTGGAATGATTCTCTAGCGTAATATCTAAAGTGATGATAAAACAGCTGATTTTGCTCACATTTTAAGATTATAAGGCTGAACAGCATGAAATGCCATCAGTCTACACAGATTTGCCAGTATTTCTCTGTTGTAATCAGGAGCTCACAATAATGAACCATGAAAAAGAAAAAGCAAAGCAAACGCTAGTAGATTACATGGTATAAATAAAGCACTGAATCTACAAAATTAAAAAAAAAATTGAAATAGGCACTATCCTTATAAATAAAGTGCATAGTTGCAATCTAAACAACTACATTCTCACCGTAATAAGCCTTAAAGTATATCATGTTTCCCAACAGTTGCAATATTTGTCAAACTGTAGTCCTCTGCTTGCCACTCGTGTAGGCGGAGTAATACACAAAGGTAAAGAGGCTGTATGAGTGCTGATATTACTTTAATATCTCACGCCTATCAGCCAATCAGATTCGAGAACCAGACAAAACTGTTGTTTAAATACATAGCAAAGGATTTTATTTAATAGCCTCGTCTCTGCATTTCCCGGCAGGATGTGAGTTAAAAATCACGACCAAAAAAAGCTATTTATTTACAGTGGTGATGTAGGTTAGAAATGTAGGCTTGAAATGCCACATAAAACACACATATGTTTATTTCTGAGAGGCGTAAATAAATAGTAAAACAAGACTTTTGTTGTAAGGGGAACCAATTTAAACCAAGTATAATCAGATTTATAGACAACACACATGCATTAGCTATATATTATTATTTATGTTGTGATGTGAATGCAGTGTGTGTACCTTCCGGCTCCGCTGAGCGCTGCAGAACAACACACGCTCACTATCAGCAGACCAGCAGCGAGGAGACAACAGAAAGCTGTAGATCCCAGTGAAACCATCTGACAAATACACACACACACACAAACACACACACACACACATATACACACATAACCATACATGCATATATGCACATGCACAAATACACACACACACACACACACACACACACACACACACACAAATACAAACAAGCATGCACATGCGCAAATACACACGAAAATCACATGGACGAATAGCAACAGAAACAGATCACACACACAAACACACACATGCATCATACACACACAAACATAAACACACACACACATGTTTGTTTATGTGACAAAGTTACAAAACATAGGTTTCCATTCATTTTAAACTGTTCAAAGCGTATATTGTATTGCCCTCACCCAGGGCCGGCGCGTCCATGCAGGCAACCTAGGCGGCCACCTAGGGCAGCAGAATAGAGAGGGCGGCGTCCCCGAAACTACCCTCGCCACCCGCACCCTCAGTTGTATCCGGGTCTAGTGCGGCAGAATAGAGAGAGCGGCGTCCCCGAAACTACCCTCGCCACCCGCACCCTCAGTTATATCCACGTCTGGGGCGGCAGAATAGAGAGAGCGGCATCCCCAACACTACTGTCACCACCTGCCCCTCAGTTATATCCGCGTCTGGGGCGGCAGATTAGAGAGAACGGCGTCCCCCAATAGTATCTGGATGCAGCCTTTATGATGCAAGCTGAGATTGCATCACTCAGCGATGCAATGTCAGGCACAATGCACTCAAATGGAGCGAGTGACGTCACAGTGATGGGTGGAGTTAGGGGTGGGGTTAGGTGAGCCCATTAAAAAGCATTGGATGCAGCCCAGATTGCACTGCACCAGGTCTGCATCCAGAACCCTCTCGCGTCTCCGACACTACCCTCACCACCCGCAGCCTTAGTTATATCCACGTCTAAGGTGGCAGAATAGAGAGGACAGCGTCTACGACCCCCCACCCCACCCAACCCCACCCCATGGTTTTCACTTTCGGGTTAAGGATGGCGTGACCGTCCTTTGCCTAGAGTGGCAGTTCAGCTTGCTCCGGCCCTGCCCTCACCCCACCCTACCCCTAAACCCAACCATCACAGGAGACAGTGTGCAGCTTTACTCTCTGATTAAACTCATGCTGTGTGATTTAGAAGCTTTTTGAGAAATGAGGATGTCCCCAAATTTCACCTCCTTTTTGTGCAACCCAGGCTCATTGTGGAAACGTAGTCCCGCGGATATTTCTAGAGACCGCGGAATACATCCCAGCGGGTACGTACGGCTGCAGTTTTTGTTTTCGCAAATCCGCGAGAGGTGGTTCGCGTCCGCGCTGTTCTCGCGTGAACCCGCCGGAGGCCACTGTCCGACTGACCGGATGATTGACTGCGCGACCGACCAATCGGCCGACTAGCCCTCCACCTTTCCTGAACCCAACCAATTTTACTGATCGACCCGCCCTCCCGCTCGCTTCCCTAAACCCGAGCAACAGTTCACAAAAGCCGTCCAAAAAAATAAAAGCCCTGATTTTTTTTATTCTACCGCGTTTTCGGATTTCACCGCGTTCTCACCCTGTTACGAAACTCGTTCACTTAATTTTTGGGATTCTGTTTTTGTCTTACCTGATTGCTGGAACTGCTCTTCCCTGGACTCGAAACCGGTCGCCGTGGTCGACTCCTCTCTGCATCTCGAGCCTGCCGACGTACACGCTGAGCTGAGTGGACAAACGGGTTGCAGCGGGGAAGTCCTCCACAAGGAGGTAAGGCAAGCGCGAAAGGGAACAGCGTCACACCGCCCCGCAGCGTTCGCTTAAAAAAAAAAACGCGGCCGTACGTACCCCCCGGGACGTATTCCGCTGTCTCTTGAAACGTCCGCGGGACTACGTTTTCAGAATGAGCTTGGGATGTTTTTGTAATAACTGTGTCATTATATAGATTTGTGTCCTGGTATGTCACAAAAACACGAACACACACACACACACACACACACACATATACTGTACATACCATCTCTGGCTCTCTGCACCACATCAACCACAACGCTGGTCTGTTTGGTGTACCAGTCGAACTGTAAACAAAATGACAGATTTAATCTTCACATGACTGACACGCGCTGCTATAAACACACATAACTCACTAACAAGTGAAAATTGGTTGTTTTTGCGTTATTTCCAGCTAATTTGTACTTCTGGTTTGGTACCAATTTTTGAAGCTGCGTTACTCTGATTAGATCCTTGTGTGTATTCCATGACATCTTTGAGCTTTCAGCATTACTTCATGCGAAAGACTTCCAAGTCTTTCCAGACCGCCAATCAGCGCGCTCTATTGTGTATGCGGTGCGACTTCATTAATATGCATGATAGCTTTGAAGACCTGATACAGTGTTCTACAGGAATTGTTTAGAGAGACGGGTCGTCAGTGTTGTGTTTAGAAATGTGTTGCCCAGAAAGGTTTTGGTTCATGTGTGGATTATCTGCTAACATGCCACAAAAATACGTTTGTAAGGATCAAGTTTTTCTCATCTGGAAATGCTGAAATCCGGATTCGCTGCTCGTCTCCTCTTAATAAAGACGCAGCTCCAGTTGGTGTTGATTGTCCTGTCTCTACAGGTTTGGTCAGTGTGTGATCGGTGCTCTTTGTTTATGTTTATTCAGAGGTAAAGTTAGTTGGTATGGTCAGCAGTACTCTTCCAGTGTTTAAAGACAGACCTTAGTCAGAATGGTTGAGTCACTCAGTTTACACACACATAATACACACCACGCAGAGTCGGTGGCACTGCAGATGTGAACAGGAGACGCCGGACTCCAGATACACAATCCTGCAGTGATCAGGGCTCAGACGAGGAGAACAGACAGAGATGGAGTCACTGGAGAGCTGATCTGAGAACACACACACACACAGACTTCAAAGCCCTTGACGGAATTTAGACTTTTACATACAAGAGTTGGACAATGAAACTGAAGGCCTGGTTTTAGAGCACAGTAGCTGAAGATGGTGTTGGGAATGACAGACTCAAGTCCTGCACAGTGTCCAAAGGGATTCTGAGCCGTTCTTCTTCAGAAAAGTGTTCAGGTCACTACTGATGCTGCTGGAGGAAAACCTTTCCTGACTCGCTTCTCCAAAACACCCCAAAGTGCTCAATAATGTTCGGTTCTGGGTACTGTGCAGGCCGTGGGAGAAGTTCAACTTCACTTTCATCTTCATCAAACCACTCTGTCTCCAGTCTTACAATTAATGAAGTTACACAACTAATCTTTAACTTTAAAGAAAACCTGCATTATGACAACTTCAGAAATTATTGTGGTGCATTCGTGGGTTTAAAAAGAGGACAAGGGAGGTTTTTGGAGAATTTGATGGGTTTTCCTCAGTTTTGGGGACAAATTTTGTATGGTTAAGTACGTACACACAAATGCACAAATACATACACACACACACATAGTGTCGGTGTCATTGAACATCTGAATGACCCCAAAAGAAGTGTGTTTTCCTCTTCTGCAACATATTAATTACACAACTAAACAGGGTTTTCAGTACAGACTGATTTGAGACGGAAAGCTGCACAAGAGATCTTACCGCATTTCCCACTGGCCAGATCCACATAAAACAGAGACGACCTGTGGAAAACACACACGTCAGCATGATGGAAAACTATGGTGGCCGAAAAAACTAAACACACATGCAATTAAAAGCAAAACACCAGCAAATGAAGAAACGATCTTCATCAATTTGACAGCAAACGAGCTGCAAATTCTCACAATACAAACAACTGAAGAAACGCGCAGCAATTAGTCACGACACTTGCAAATATCCACATAAAAAACGGAAATGTTTCAAGGGGACCCAAAATCATGCAAAAGTATCTGGACCCAGCCTTTATGATGCAAGCTGAGATTGCATCACTCAGCGATGCAATGTCAGATACAATGCACTTAATGGAGTGAGTGACGTCACTGTCATGGGTAGGGTTAGGGGTGGAGTTAGGTGACCGCATTAAAAAAGCATTGGATGCAGCTCAGATTGCACTGCACCAAGTCTGCAGCCAGACCCCTCTCAAACCATGACGGACCCTGCTGAGATATGGATGTGTTATCCAATGTAAAGTCAATGGCAGTTTATTGCAATGGAAGTTTATGGGACAGTTGCTAGGGTGCTGTAAGTGGTTGCTAGGGTGTGGCTAATAAGTTGAAAGGTCATTAGTGATTGGCAGATTGGTAGTCTGAGTTAAATAAACCCAAACTTAAGTCTGCATGACAGTCTGGTGGAGAGTTATGAGGTCACAAAGTTTGGTCCAATGTTAAGTCAATGGGACTTTTCCAAAAATTCCAGGTCATTTTTTAGAAAATTGTAAGTCGGATCAGTTAGAAAAGATATAGCAGCTTTATTCAGTATAGTTTGGAGGTCTGGAGTTAGTTTGGTGGTTGTAGTATGAACGGTCTAGGAGGAGATGTGTTCTTAAAATCGTCTAAAAAGACGGAAGAGGAATATTCAGTTTGTGTAGTATAACAGGGTGTTTGCTTTCTCAAGCCACCGTAATAAACGTTTTACAAGTATTGTTCATTATTAGCTCATGTTAGCAAATTTAAATGTAAAGTGTGACCAAAAGACATCAGAAATTCACCTTCTGTTGCCGCAGGATTTGAGTCCCAGTCTGAAGGGCTCGTGCCACCAGCCCACAAACAGCAGACCGGTGTCAGCGGGAGCCCAGAACGCCTGCGGAAAACACCAGTGCTTTATTCATTTATTTAGGTGAAGTTTATTCATAAACTCATTTCGAGAGGATCTCATGCTTATGATTTATCACGGCCGGTCTCGTATTAGCTAATCATTATCTTCCAATCATATGAGCCCTACGCTACTATAAATAACCACAGTTTTCAGTCCATTTTATCTTCGTTTGGAAGAAACCCCCCTTCCTCCCCTATTCTTCTCCTTTACCTCTGATCAGGCGGCACGGCGGCCCAGTGGTTAGCACTGTGAGCCCCACAACAAGAACCTGGTCCCGCCAGGCCGGTTGGCGTTTCTGTGAGGAGTTTGTATGTTCTCCCCGTGTCCGCGTGGGTTTTCCCCGGGTTCTCAGGTTTACTTCCATCATCAAAAGATATACAACATGCATAACAATCAAGCATTGTCTAACCCTTTTTGTTCCCCTAGCTATCGCAGCCGGGATCTGAGCCAGCCAGTTCTGAGATCCACCAAGCTCAGGCTCCCCTCTCGCTCTGCCAACGGGAGGAAGCCCCGGTCTCGAGGATCTCTTGAGCTTGGGGCTCTCTCCCGGGACAGCATGCCAAAAAAGCTTTTGAAAGATCATCAGCTAAGTGTGAACTCTTGAATTGTGTGTGTGTTTGACTGAGATGAGATGGACGTTGATGTGTTGGTCTTGGGGAATGCATTACAAGTACCGCAAGCTGTGTAATGCTATGCCTCTTCTGAGTAGCGAGTAATGCATTACTTTTAAAAATAATAATAAAGCAATAATATTTCACTTGAGTAGCATCAGTTTGAGCCTCGGCTGGGTCAGTTGGCGTTTCTGTGTGGAGTTTGCATGTTCTTCCCGTGTTGGCATGGGCTTCCTCCGGGTGCTCCGGTTTCCCCCACAGTCCAAACACATGCGCTATAGGGGAACTGATCAACTAAACTGGCTGTACTCACCAACTGACCCAGCCGGGATTTGAACCAGTGACCTTCCTTCAGTAAGGTAATAGTGCTAACCACGGAGCAACACCCTGTATTATTATTATTATTATTATTATTATTATTATTATTATTATTAACTGTAGCAGTACATATACAGTAGATGAACAATCAAAGACTATAGAATGCAGAAGACACGTCA